TGTTCGCCACCCCTCACGACTCCGTGGTTTTACACCCGGAACGCGGGCCACCGCCGTACCCGTATTGCACCGTGTCGCGTTCGAGTAGCTTAACATTAGCAGCCGCCGGTCGAACTGCGCGCGAGCGGTAGTTTCAACGCAGGATTTATCGCGTCCTGTTATCGGGTCGATCGTCCGCAGGGACGGAAACGTAGAAATCCAACCGAGAAACTACCTACACGCATATCCATTCGTCCGTCGTGGTCGGGTACGAGAGCGTGCACGATATTATTACATATATTATTGCACGATATTAATGCGCGACGCGATAAAGCCAAGCGCGCGGGGGTCGCGCAAACGTCGAATTCGGAGCGTATATAAATTACACGCGGTTTTAAGTATTCGCCGCGGTGGCGCAGCAGTCGCCGCGATTCCGTTCCGACCCGTTTTTCCGTGTGTATGTTATAATAATTTATGTTCGAGATGAGTGCGATAACGCGCCGAGTGTGCGAGCGCGTTCGTCGGTGCACCGGGAGCGTCCGCGTACAGCACCTCGAGGCCGAGCAGGATTCTTTAGACGACCGGTACAGTGTCTTGCCGATAAATTCTTTTTTTTCCCTTCTGGTGCATATCAAATAAATAATATATCGATGCGAAGCCGTGTCGTATTATTGTGATTTATAGCCAGTACCACTGTTAAATCTTAAAATTTTTTTTTTTTGGTCGTCTTCTTCGTATAAAATACGTTTGCGATATTACTTTTATTCGACTCTCGACGCGGATCGAATATTTTCACCGGTTATCGGCGTAAACCGGTGCTTCGAAACATGTACGCAGAAGATGAGATATACGAAAAAGCGCGTTTGACTGCGATCACTATTTTTACCACGGCCAAATAGGAATATTTTTCGATGCACGTAATATGAATTATTAGACATATCTATGTGTGTGTGTGTGTGTTATAGTGTAGGGTAAAACAGCGGTAATATCAACTAGCGATTATTTAGATTATCTGATGGACTTTTTTCGCAGGGATTCCGTCTCACTCTCCAGAGAATTAACATTTTTTAACTCCCTCCCCAACGGTTATCACAGTTTCATATATAGCTCAAGTGTTATGTGATCTTCCTAGTCGATCTTGAAAACCAAGTGTTATGTCGGCATATATTATTTTGCAATTAATACAGTCATATCGAATGTTCTCGACAGTACAAGTACGTTTTCGGAAGCGTTGTCGGTATATTATTTTTTAAAAATGTATAATTCATTTACATTGTCAATACGAAAATTGAATACATTCCCCATTCGCATCCCTTATTTTCCAAATGAACGGATTCACGTTCGCATTATCATAAGTAATAAAATTAAAAATTGTATACATTTCAAATGGTTTTAAATACTCGAGTGTTCCGTGTGTATTCAAAGCGTTGCATTGAACTGTTATGAATTGCACTCACGTTGTATGCAAACAAACGCATTCGTTTTCAACGAGAAAAGGCAGTAATATAATGCAATCGGTGAATGCGTATTTCCTGTAACACTGTGGTTTTCGCGTATCACCATAATAATGCACGTACAATGTACTAATATTAATAGAAAAGAGCATCGAAACAAATGACTGAACTTACAACTTCGATGCGCTATGTTAATGTACTTTGTTTCATTGCAATGTACTCAATACGCACATTCAGTGTGTGCTCAGGGTTTTTTTTTTTTTTTTTACGCTCATACAAATTTTACAACTGTCCGTTCCAAAGCGCGTTGTAGGTTTTTTATTTTTCATTTCCATTTATATATCGATGTTTTCATGACACCACCGGCTATTTAGGTTCGTGCGTTGTTAACATTGTATGCCCCAATCGACCGAAATGATTCGAGGTCATTCGATGTTTCCCGATGACACGCATTGATGACGACGATGACTGTCGATGTCGGTGTTGCATAAAAATAAAACTCTGAGTAGGCGAACAAAACACCTAATAAAAGGTTACAACTGCGATTCGGAAACGTTTTTCTATGCAAAATCTGAATCGCAATGTTTTGTACGTTATAGTACTACTGCCAACCACTGTCCATCACGGGATCACCCACGTGCAGCATCATATCTACTAGGCAAATCCACTGGTCTGCACGTGAACCCATGTGAACGAATATCACGTTCCACGGGGATAGTGTTAGCCCGTCGGTTCGAGTCGGACAAACGTTTCGAATTCTACGATTCCACCGGAAGACGGTAATCCGTTTGCCGTACACGAGTCACGGCAGAGCGGATAAGGAGGCAGCAACCCGTTCGAACCCGGGGGGTCGTCGACGGTTTCGCTTTCCGTAGAATCGGAGATCGCCCGACACTGTTTCTCGCTCGACACGTGAATATCACAACAAATCGACAAAACGGTTCGATTCGAAAAGACATCGGATTAAGCAACGATACCGTGCACGACACGTATTCCGGATACCGGCTTAACTCATTCGGAATCAGCTATTGTTAATGTATTATTCTTAACGAAATAATATACTTTTTTTTTTCTTTTTTTTTTTTATCACGTAATCGTAATCAATTTTTTTGGCTAAAATAAAACAAAAAAACAAACAACGGCGATCGATAAAAGTCACGGTAAGCGCTGGTGGATAGATCGGGGTCGGTAGGACATCGAGATCGAGATCTGGTGCCGAGGGCTCGTATCCGGTGAAGACGACGTTGTACGTAGTTATTGTTCACGTGACACGTGTTCGCCCGCTGATGTGAGCGTCACGGAAAGGGCGGGAGGAGGTGCCGTGTGGACGATCCTGCGCTATCGCTCACCGGTGACAGCACTCGTTTGTCTTCGGAAGCGTTTCGTCGCCGTGCGTGTTTCGCCAAGACCGCGAGTGGGGGGTGATGAGGGTGGCTGTGAAAACGCACCAGTCCAAAAGCTCTCGGCGACGGCCAGAGACATTTGTCACGGCCCCGTCGCGGTGTACGTTACGGGACTACACTGCGCAGTCAACCGAACTGGCAAACCGTTGTCGCGACGCACCTGCACGGCGGATTAATAACGACACCGAAACGGTGCGAGTTTCCGTTCGAGTCGCGGTACCGGCGACCGTCGTTTGGTCGCGCGCGACAAATCGAACCCGACACGTCGGGTCCACGTTTCGCGTAGGTTTTCGGTCGGCCCGTCCGCACTCGACGACGGACCCAGAAGCGCACCCCCGACGTGGCTTTGGCCGTGACGGGGCAACTGTCGGTTTCCCCGTGGTTTTCCTTACTCCCCGTTACGTAAAGATAATGTTGTGCCTCCGTTCCCCCTACTAGCAATCGGTTAGATTTCCCTAGGCTTTTATTCATTTCAAATTTTTGGAACATGAAATCTCACCTTTCATTCTCCTATGGTAATTTATTTTGTACGTTCTGTCGAATAACTATAAATAATTAAACAACCGTGTGCTAATTTTACGGCAACGGTTCATCGAAAGGGGTGGATTTTTTTTTTTTTTTTAATTCCGCAGGGTTGCAAAATACTCAGCCCGACCGGGAAACTTGGCCATTACGGATAGGTTACGTGGACAAGCGGTTCACATGCACGGTATACGCACGACGCGTGTTACGTATCATTGAAAAAGTTACAGCTCAGAACGCGTCGAGCAAAATATGTCATAATTTATTTTTGCGTGCATAGACATCCCATTGGTGACCGCTGGCATCAAACATAAATATAAACACGTATTTTTAAGTTCGTTCATTGTTTCTTTTTTTTTTTTATTGGATAATAACTAATATCGTAATAATATGGATGCATATCGTACCCCTATCACGTGTACCTATTAATTTTTTCATTAAAATATAAATCGTGTACTATAAAAAAATATATAAATAACTATTATTAATATTGCATTAGGTAAATGGAAAAATTAAGTTTATCCGTGCAGTTACGTAGGTAAAATATTGAAACGTCCCAAGGCGGAAGTGACAACAGTTTGGCTTTAATCATTGGCACCGTTCCACTTGCGGAAAAATAAAATAATGCGCGAGTACGGCGTTTTTGCGTAGATTTCGTCGGTTACGAACCACATAACAACGTTTTTACTCGTAGGCGTAGCTAAGGTAACTTGGAGGATCGTTGAGCTGACACCGATGGCTTGTGTTCACGTCAAACAATGTATGACGTGTGTTTGCTTTTATTTAAAACTGAAAATCAATTTCCCGGGAAAACGTCAAATAATTTACGTGTTTCATTTTCAGAAGTACCGTTTTCATTTGTTTCACGGGCGAACATTATTTAATATGATATGTTTTATTTTACAAAAGTATTAAGAACATATTACTACAGGAATCGGTTGGACGAAATAAAAATGTAAACGTATGATTTATTGAATATTCTGTTAGGAATTCCGTTGCTCCGGTCCCAAAAATAATATAATTACGGACCCATAGTTGTTACCCTCCACCCGTACTCGTGTTTTTGATTGTAATTATAATAATAATAAAAATTACCATAACTTCTAGATCGGGTAGAATGATATTGTTTTATTGGTCGTTTAAACTTGAAAACAATGTACCATCGATCTCGAAAAAATGATTCTGCGTTTTAGAAGTCCGGCGGATCAGTTTATATTATTTAAAGTGGTCGACATGGTACGTATTATGAGTACAAAACGATCTTTTGAGTGTTGCTGTAAATATTTTTGTCCTCATTTTTTCACAGTTTTCAAGAACACTGTAGGATTATTTGTCATACCACCCACTCAGCGTGTCAACTAAACAACTTTTCCTATCAGAAACCTTAAACGTTTATGATGGTCGGAGCGATTCTTCTGGTAAAAATAATGCACACGAGTACGAAAAAAAAAATTAGTGCGCGATAAAATAGTTATCGGTGAAAGTTCGAATGTCAAAGTATTTTACTGTTTCTTCTCTTTTATCAAAAAAATCGCGCGCAGAAAAAAAAAAAAAAAATTAAATTTCAACACACATTCATCGCGGCAAAACCAACCTTGCAACAGTGACAATGGATAACGACAACAGTTGGTGATCGACTTACCCGTACGGCGGACGGAGAACGAATCATTTTCTCGCAAAGTTTACCGCTGCAGCGTAAAACCGGTACCGTTGCGCGACAACTACACCATCAAAACACCGTGTAACAGCAGCGGACGACTATAATAACGCACGTGCACCGGTGTACGTCGGAGACGTATCCGCGCGGTGTATTTAAATTTCGTACGGACGACGGGATTTTATACTGGCCCGTTGTATTGGGCGTACGCACCTAATCGCGTCCTTCACGTGTCGATTATTCACCGTGTCCTACGCGCGCACGTGGTGCGGCAAAAAAAAAAAAATATCTGGGTATTCGTTTGAAAGCGTTTTTCGTGTTTCTCTCGCGAGACGGGCCGAGGCGAGGGCGCGCGGGTTCAATGCGATCTACAGGAATAATGCGAACAGAAAAAGGACCGAGACAACTTTTTCTCGTAGTTTTTTTTTTCCCCCTCCACCGGTCCTCGGTTCGCCCCACGGAAACCGCTCGAAATTCGATTTGTTCCAGTCGCACAGGAGCTCCGCCGGGGCCGGGACAAAGGACCGCGCGGCCGGCAGGTATAAAAAGTGTAATGACTGTCCGAGACGGACGGACGGCGGACGGTGATCGAACGTGCGGAGCGGGAGAATTCGTAGATCGGTCGGCGTAGGAGAATAAAAAAAACCGACCGACCGAATTCGTATGTACGTACGTGCGAGCGTGCAGGAATTCGATTGGGTTTATGATGCCATAATCTAACGTCGACCGCGGGCAGGATGACGAGGTTTTTTTAGATTTCCGCGCTGGAGTGCGGCGAACACGAATCTCTCAAAGTCACCCGGTCAGTGACGTGTGGGAATGATAACAATTAACACCGGTGTATTATGCACGCGCTAGTAGCACATTCATTTTTATGCGGTACTTGGCGCTAGACGAAAGCTTTTAGCGATACGTTTAAAGATACGTCAGATATCGTAGGGTTAAAACATTTATATTTCTCTTCGTGTACGTTCCTACACACATTCGTGTGGAACGAACTTAGTTAACTTGTTTTCCTGTGCAACGTCCTTTTGAATCCTTTCTGTAACAATATTTCGGTCTGGAAACACGTTATGGATAAGACATGAAAATACTAGCCGTGATTCTTTATTCGTTTTATGGTTTTTTTCTATTTTTTTTTTTTTTTTTTTACGATTTTCACTGGTCGTAAGTGATAATAATAATATAGGCACATTTGGTGGTTAAAGATTTTGAACGGGTGAATTGATCGCAGCGCGCCTGTTCATCATACGATGTTAAGTGAATACACAGTAAAACTATACCGAATTTATCCGTACAGTATCTCATTTGATCGACAAGGATTTTATGTATCCCAGGCGTCCGGCATACTTTTGAGAAAGACGTTTGTTGTTTTCTTAAGAGTTTCTCGACAAACGAATAATTGGCCGAGGAAAATAGTAGCGTTAATGTGATTAATGAAAAACTGTAAAATATGTAACAAATATATTTTATTTTATTTTGTAAATTAACATTTTTAATTCAGATAAATTATTTTTATCCGTCGCAACAATAATGGATGGTTATGAAATAGTGTTCACTAGGTAATATTTATAGCTTAGCTCTTATTGCAGTTCCGTATTAATCTGTTCCACCTTCCAGACATTTATGGTTAAATTATGATAATTTAGAATTGAAAAATGACATATACATGCATTTGCATAGAATAGAGTAATACATCACGTGAAAATAATCTAGTTACAATTATTTGTTGAGGTGGTCAATAAAATGTAATCTTCTGTCAAATTTAACGGTTTCGCATAAAAACAAAATGACATGCATAAAATAATGCATGTACAGTGTACATGGTACACATTATTCCGACCTTTGGTCGAAGTCGATTATCGAACACGCAGCGGAAATTCTTACCGTCGTCAATTCAAGTACAAATACAGTCTGGTTAGACACTACTCGACCTACACATTGTATGAGTTATACAAGGTTTACCAATTATTATTTTCCGAGAAACCGAGAAATAAAACACTCGATTTATACGATGGTTTACTGGAAAATTTAATACTTTTCGCTGGAATTTACTAACGGATGTACAAAATTAGAGAACAGTTTAAGATGTAAAATAAAAATCGAAAATTATTTACTTAATATCACGATTTTTTTTCCTCTACGTTTTATTTTATTGAATTTCAATGAAACATGTAAATTTTAACATTTATTGTAAATATATTTTATTATTTCACATTTATAAGCTTAGTGTTACGTTGTGAAAAAAAAGTTAGTCCTTTGTTCTGGTCACACTTTGACCCATTCCCTATGTTCTGCACAATGTTATATAACACTATGCAGTTTATATTACTAAAAAAATATAAAAACATTTAATTAGGTAGTTTACTTTTCTATACCTAAAACAGGAACACGTAGAAATAATTTACAGTAAACTACATTCATTGTAATTTTCTAACGTCGTTACCGGTTTTCATAAAAAATATTTTAACCGAATACTTTTTTTTTACTATTTAAAAAAATAAATAATCATATTAAACAAATTAAATTCGACTTTGTCGCAGTAACGATGAAATAACAACAACAAAAGAATATGACTGTATTATTTCCATCATAATTTAGTCGTTACTGTAAATGATTCATCATTTTACTACACTGATATTCAATGTATATTTTTATTTAATCTTCTGCAAAACGTTTTCTTTCTTTTATTCTATTGAAACACATTTTTGTACAAAATAATTTAAATTAATAACATTTTATTTTTTTTCACATATATAACATAATTATACTCTATTATTAGACCCTAAAAAATAAAAAATAAATAAATAAAAAACCTTTATCATTAAAAATATATAGGCACGTAAATACTCTCATCTGCCTTGACGTTGAAATGGTTTTTTTTCTTTGTGAAAAAAAAAAATCGTTAAGCAAAAAAATTAAACATGTGACATTGATTTGATTAAAAGAAAAAATGACAAGTTTAACGTGAACGGATGACTGTTTGGCTGGGTCGGAGGACATTATCTCGAGAGAAGAGAGCCAGTCCGAGAGAGAGAGAGAGACAGATAGAGTGAAATAAAGAAAAAGAAAGAGTATATAGTACTCGTGCTATTAATCAATAGACACGTAGAACACGCGCGAGGACGACGATCGAAGAAGTGGCGGTAGTGGTAAACGACAGGATATAAAGTGGCACTAGACGGACGGGTAAGTGGCTATGTCGGTGGCAACAGTAACAGTAGTATCAACATCAGGACGAGTGGCAGGACGAGTTGCAGGACCAGGAGTAGCAGCAGCAGCAGCAGCAGCAGCAGCAGTAGCGTCAGGGGTAACCTGTAAAAATCGAAACAGTTTTGATAGACAATTTCTTTTAATCATTTATCTTCTTCAGGTGTGCGTGTACCTCTGGTGTTCACCGACAGCGTCTTGGCGTACTCACGCTCGCACGCACGCACGCGTTCGTTCTGCAGACAGATAGACGTAATTTAAATTGATTTCGCTCCATGTGCGCTCAGCACAGATACACAGTTTATCCGTCATCGGGAATACACACAAAAAAAAAAAAAAAAATACAAAATAAATAAATAAAAAAATAGATAAACGAAAGGAAAAAATAAAAATAAAAGGAGTATAAAATCTAAAATAACGTGTTATGTACTACGTGTGCGCTTGTGACGAATAAACATTGGCTTACACGTATTATTGTACACGTACCGAGCGCGAATGGAAGTGTTTACTATGGCCACTGTCCGAGAGAGTTATAACTTATAATAAGGGCCCGGATTTTAATGCAAAGTACATATTTTTTAGTTGATCATACACAATGTTTTTTTTAAGAACATAATTCGTTTCGTGTAACGAGGGTTTCAAAGCTACAAATTTATTTTGCATTTTTTTTTTTTTTTTTGCATATTTCGACTAGGAGCATTTTAAGTATTATTGGGTCTTTTGTTAATTTTCAATGCATATTTGTTGAATATACTAAACAAATTTAGCCGATTCAAAATAAAATCAAAAGATAAACTATTTTCTTGTTATTTAAGTAGGTTTTTCCATACACATTGTCAATCTTTATTTTTCGATTCAGTTTTTATCTTATCTTAATTTATTATTGACTGTGGAATGTCACCAGTACTCGGTCAAATAACAAATAATCAGTCAGTCCGTGTTACATCGCAGATCGTATTATATGTGTTTGTGATTTTAATGAATTAAATAGTGTATGAAATAATAGCCAAAATGAAAAAAAAATATTTAATTTTAAAGGTCATTTTAGGATATTTTTTAGAGCATATTTGTTTGGTTTTAAGTGCATTTAAATCCGGGTCCTACTTATAATATATATCGTATTTTCGTTTAAGGGCACGTGGGCTAGCTCCAGGGCTTCCGACAGACGAAGGTTCGAAAAATATAATTCACATCTTTACGTTGTAATGTATTGGCAATATTTTATTCCCCCCCCCCTTCCACCAGTTTTAACCAACGGTTGAGCGGATGCTATTTTCACATTACTGCCGCTCGGCCCCGATCGTTTATTCAAGAAAAAGAATAATTTATACACACTGATCCCCATTCGGTTGACCGCGCAATTTTTATAAATGTCAACCGAAGAGGAGCCGCGACCACGGTACATGGACTGTTAGTTTACGACGAGTCTTCGTTTGTTGATTTGGGATCCGCATCCGTTCGTTGGGCAACCGTGATCATCGTCCCTCCCGTGGTGCTGTCATGTATGTTACGTAATTGATTATAATATTAATTAAGTAATTATGTAATGTTTTAAAATCGGTATCGACGCACAGCGCGATAACCGTCTTGAGCAATAAACAGTCTTGATCAGTACGTACTCGCACACGGTCGTTTCTGTTGTTCCTCGTCCATAATCTGTCATGTAATTACAAAAACGATAGGTACCATCTGTAGAACGTCAAACAGAGTGGGCGGTGGCATTTCCGCCGTTCTCGCGAAGCCAGTTGTCCGTTCGGTGTTCACCGTTAATTGAGTTGTCTCGCTGCTATCTGCCTTCGGGCGCTGAGTTACTCCGTTAACTTTGCGTTACTCCGTTCTGAGACTACGTTTAAAGATTACTTTCCGCCACGTGATCCCTCTCATCCTGTTTCTTTTCAACAAGAATGTCATCTACCATCTTGTAGAATTCATGCGTTGCTCTGATGAAGGCGGCTACTAGGCTGCTCGATGTTACTCGACCGACGACGTCCTCGTTCGAGTGTTCCGGTCCGCATAACAAGTCTTGCGCGCTTCGGATTTCTACCACTAAAGAAAACATTCTAGGGCTATCGATGTGTGTCCCAGTGTGGGCAATCAAAGACTGTGTGCTCAGCGATGTCCTTAGCGCGACCACAATACA